CGATCATTAGAATTGAAAGATGAACTGCATGATTGTCTTCATTAAGAAGCTTCTTTTCAAGCTTCCTCTGCTTCTTCCTTTTCAAAAATCATAGCCCAAGTTTCACCTTTGCTTGTAATTGGGGTCATTGCATAATGAATTTCTACCTTCTACTGGAAGAAATACGTCAGCAACTTTAGCCATTTGAGCAGCACATATAAAATCTTTCAACTCTGCAATTGATGAATCCAAACCACATCTTTCCATGGCTATTGAAACCTCAATCTCTGAATATCCTATTTTTATCAAGTATAACAGTTTATTCTCCTCATTAGAATCAGAATTCAGGATTCCCTCGGTATCAGAAAGAACTATCAATATCTGTGAAATCATCCTGAAAGATCGCTTCATAATCAGATGAGTTGTTATCAAAATCAACATGTTGCATGGGTGTGGATTTTTCAAGAGCCTGTACCACTGTATATGTAGTCTTACTATTACACCAAATTACTGTTCACATAAATTGGTTTCTCTCCCACAGAAAAGTATATTTTAGAGATGGCTTTCACTGAAAGATAATAAGCCACTGTGTCATCCTGGAACGGATTACCAAGCTATTTTCACTGCTCTGTCTGACTAAATCCCTCCAGATACAGAAAATGGTCATCTCATTCAGAAGACACATATCTCAGACGTTTTTATCAGAATGATTGAATACTTCTTAAGTTTGTGACAACATGAAGAGAATTTCAGTTACTTGATAACACTACTGTTTAGTGACACCAGAATGAGAGTATTCAAGATAAATAGATTTGGGGCACGAATAAAGCTACAAGTACCTACAACAGTTCATTGTCAAAATTGGACCTCGTGGGGATCATGACATTCCAGTCAAACAGACATTGAGAGTGAATCAGACAGATCTAGAGGGACATCTTGAGGGCCCATTTCAACTAGAAATAGAATATTGGGGCATTTTGAAGGCTCACAGCAATATGAATATTTGGGCATTCTTTGAGGCTCATCTCAACAAGAAGTAATGTTGAGCACACTTTTAACATCTGTATCAGCAAATGTTAGGGCATTTAAAAGGTTCTTTCAGACAGATCCATGTGGGGCATTTTGAAGGCTCAGATTAACAAGAAGAAAATGATGTGGCATGTTGAAAACCCCTTTCAATCAGAATTAGGAATATTGAATTATTCTGAATATTTATATCAGCAAAATGCTGGGGCATGCTGAAAGCCCCTTTCAATCAGAATCAGGACTGTTGATGCATTTTAAACACTTGTATTAGCCAATGTTGGGGCATGCTGAAGGCCCATATCATCCTGTGTCGAGATCATTGACTTGAACAAATATTTCTAATGAGACATAAAGATATGAAGAATGAAAATGGTGAAACAGTGACAATCGAGCTGACTATACATAATTGCTTCATTCATTAGGCAGTTATATCAGGGTCTTGTTGTTTAACAAATATTTACTCAACAATTATGGTTTCAAATACCCAATCTTCTTAACCATGTGTCACATAACAGTGTTTTCTTTGTTAATCTACATCATGGTTGCATGAATAAAGATGGTCCTCGGGCAAACCAGTCAATCCAGGGTTCAATTCCTCAAAATATCATCTTTGAATTTTGTATTTTGTGTGTCGGTGATGATTGAAAATATTTCTTTGAGATTCCTGGCAGTTAGTTTCAACCATAATGTTGAGGTTACGAAACTGTTTTTCACATCAGTTGTTGTTTGCTTGATGACATTGAATAAAGAGGCTCAGATTACATTACCCCTACTCCCATTGTTATTGGTGTTATCATTGCCAGCCAGGGTGAACGGAGTTTTCATCTATTTTGGTTTTATCATGGGCGTTTCATCTACAACAGCAAGAATTCCATGAACCTCCTTCAGTACATGGATCCTATAACTGATGTATTTCTATTTCCTACAAATGCTCATTACGGAAGAAAACGTGATCGATGTCACACTTGCCTTGTCCGAGATGATATCAAGATCAATTAGTGTCTCTTATTCAATTCAGCACTAGCCTATTTTGTGAATTTGACCAACTTTTTGGTCATGAAACACGCCAACATTTTACTTATATTCCCATTGAGTTTTGTTCTCAAGAGGTCTTGTGACATCATACAAAAGCTTTGAACACTGTGCAAAGAGCTTCACTGACCAGAAATCTGTGCATAAGTCACAAAAAAAGATGAATGTGTTGTCAAATGCTTTACGAACATCTGAGCTGAAACCACATGAGATGAAGAATGTGGTCAAATGTTTTACAAACCAGTGATTATGGTATTGAACCAATGTTGTTATCATATGGTTTTCCTTTATTGATACAAGATGAAGTTTGTCTTCCTCTACCCCAAGATTAGAAATGAGATATGATGAAGATTTCTTTCCACAGAAGGAAAACTGAAATTTTAAACAAGAAACTAGTGGCGCCTACTAAGGTTGAACAACAGGTTGTTGTTAAACATCTCGACATGATATGGTCCAAGTTTCCTTATTCAAGATCTGATTATATATGGATACATGAAAGGAATTGGGATAAATCTTCCTTGTAATGTGCTTCAAAGAGTCAAATTAGAACAGACTCTACTCTTCTAATTAATCCCTGCTGAGCCAGACATATCTACATCTACATCCTTCAAAGATGATAAATTTTCTCTTCAAATATGATAGATTCTCTTTTTAAAGATGACAGATTCTCTTTTCAAAGATGAAAGCTTTATTGAATTTCTACACAAGTCCCGACAAAGAAAGTTGGTTTTATCCAAGACAAAATGGGGCATCAAAGTCATAGTTCTGATTACAGCAAGAGTTCCACAAAAAACATTTCTTCTGAGACTTAAATGAAGCAAAGAAGGCACCAAGATACAAGTTGATCAGATGATTCTGCAGAAATGCAAGCTTGATAGCATAAGTTTCTACACTGATATCCAGAGGTAACATTGGCAATAAATGATGAAGTGAAGGAATACCAAGTTCACCACTTTGAAGTCAAATGAAGATTGCATCAACATTCATGCATTCATAAGAACATCATTTGCACAATAGACAATGCATTACATTGATACATCTGAGTGCATTCAAACATGAAGTTTTACAGATCTTCGGAAGAACAAGAAGATTCATGGTAAGAAATACCTTTTAAGAAGAATGTAGAATTCAAAACCTCGAATACAGGAATCATGCAAACATCTGAAGAAGAGATGGACGCAATCCACAAAAATGAGCATTATCTTGAGATTGGAGCATGTTACCCAATCAACATGTTATTTTGAAAAATAATGAGAAAACGATTTCCATAGTTTCTCATTCAATCTTTTTTAAAAATGAAATTATTGAAAAGTAAGAAAACGATTTCCTTAGTTTTTTTACTTAGTAAACTATTTCCCACATCTGTAAGTCCTACAGTGCATGATGTTTCCAAAAAGCCTTCGGGAGCTTTTTGATGATTTTAAAACCTTCGGGTCATCTGTAAGTCCTGCAGTGCATGATGTTTCCAAAAAGCCTTCGGGAGATTTTTGATGTTTTCAAAGCCTTAGGGTCATCTATAAGTCCTACAGTGCATGATGTGTCCAAAAAGCCTTCGGGAGCTTTTTGATGTTTTCAAAACCTTTGAGTCAGCTGTAAGCCCTACAGTGCAGAATGTTTCCAGGTAGAGTTCATAATGAGAATAACTCATCTGAAGAAGGAAGAAGAAGTTCATAATGAGAAGAACTTGTTCAACTTTTTGCTTGAATTCATCATTCGATGGATCAGCATTTCCAGGTAGAGTTCATAATGAGAAGAACTCATCTGAAGAAGGAAGAGGAAGTTCATAATGAGAAGAACTTGTTTAACCTTTTGTTCAAATCCATCACTTGATGGATCAACATTTCCAGGTAGAATTCATAATGAGAAGAACTCATCTGAAGAAGGAAGAAGAAGTTCATAATGAGAAGAACTTGTTCAACTAATTTCAATTTTTATAAGTTTTATTTATTTTAAATATATAGTTTTAATTTTGTTCATTATATGTTAATTTTATATGTTTACTTTTAATTATTATTACTATTATTATTATTTAGCCATATATATATTTATAATATTTATTTTATTATTAAAATCTTATTTAATTACTTTTAACTTATTTTAATCTTGTTTTAATATTTATTTATTTTTCAATATTAAGAAATTGCAGTCTTAAAACAACTGGATGTCCATTTTCTAATATTTTTAAATAAATAAATATCCTATTTTATAAATTATATATTAATTGTTTTAATTATTTATTTATTTTTTAATATCGAGGAAAAGAGCTGTCTTAAGGCACCTAGAAGTTATTTTCTGATATTTCTAAATAAATAAATATTTTATTTATAAATATAATTAATATATTTTTCATATATTTTAAAAATAGTATTATAAATTAAATATATTTTGAATTTTTAATAATAAGAGACAATTTATAATTAAAAAGTGTCAATTTTGGGCGTTGCAGGGATGCTAATCCTTCCCTAAACGTAACCGACCACGAATCCTTTTTTATTATTAAAAAGAACGAATTTTTGGTTATAAACGCATATCAGTTCATCTTTTAACTGATGTTTTCTTAAAACTCTTTTAAAAGATAATTTTTAGGTATTCGACCTACCTAACCCAAAAGGCCGATGGCGACTCCCAAATTATTTTAAAAACTATTTATTCACATCACTTTTCCCGCCAAGTAAGTAAAAAATTCGTTCCCGGACGAAAACCGGTTACGGCAGTAAGCATTTAGTTTGGCAACGAAAACCTCAAAACGGGAACAAGACATTGATACCCTCGACAACATTTGACCGCACCTGCACTTCAACTGAAACATACACAGTCAACAAATTTGTTAGCTTTATCTACTCCTCTCTTTTGTCTATCCAAGAAGAACGGTAGTTGACTTCTTTAATTACAATGCCACAAACCAACTAGTTTAAATATATTGGTTGTTAATTCTACCAGCTTAGTACATTTCAAAGCGTCAAACTTCAAGGAAAAAAAATAGCAATAATCTTTGCTAGATCCTTTACTTGGTTGCTGTTGTCTCACAATGGGTTCAGCTGCTCCGGAGTATCAACCATTGCTACTCGGTCTAGAGTCGCATTCTCACATACCCGATATATCATCCGTAGCGATCGAAGAGTTCCTGCAGCACAGGCCAGTCGCACTTCGATGGTGGCCGAGGCTTGTGGCATGGGAGTCCAGGCTTCTTTGGCTTCTATCAGGTTCTTCTATAGTAGTTTCCATTTTCAATTACATGCTCAGCTTTGTCACCTTAATGTTCACCGGACATCTGGGAGCTTTAGAGCTTGCCGGTGCTTCCATCGCCAGTGTTGGTATCCAGGGTCTTGCCTATGGAATCATGGTATTCTTCATTTACGAACAGTTCTCAGACTTTTGTACTTAATATCATATATTATCACTAACTATTTTGACTCTTTTTCTTACAGTTAGGCATGGCCAGTGCAGTGCAAACTGTGTGTGGGCAAGCCTATGGGGCTAAGCAATATTCAGCGATGGGAATCATTTGCCAAAGAGCAATAATCTTGCACTTGGGAGCAGCAGTTGTGTTAACATTTCTGTACTGGTTCTCTGGTGATGTCCTCCTGGCAATGGGCCAAACCGAGAGCATAGCTCAGAAAGGCCAAGTCTTTGCTCGAGGTTTGATCCCTCAAATTTATGCATTTTCCGTAAGTTGCCCAATGCAGAGGTTCTTGCAGGCACAGAATATAGTGAACCCTTTGGCCTATATGGCAGTTGGGGTATTTCTGGTGCATATTCTTCTCACTTGGATTGTTGTCTTTGTGTTGGACTATGGACTAATAGGAGCAGCTCTTACTCTCAGCCTCTCTTGGTGGTTTCTTGTCATTCTAAACGGACTTTATATCGTTTTTAGCCCTTCTTGTAAGAACACTTGGACTGGCTTATCCATTCGAGCCTTGTCTGGAATGTGGCCTTATTTCAAGCTCACTGTTGCTTCTGCTGTGATGCTTTGGTACGTGTCTCCTTTGTCCTAGACTTTAAATTAAACTCGTCAATCGAATGGATCGGGTTGGCTTTGCAGAGCTACTTTAAACTCATTTTTCTTCTTAAAATGATGCAGTTTGGAGATCTGGTACAGCCAAGGATTAGTGCTGATATCAGGGCTCCTTACTAATCCAACAATCTCATTGGATTCGATTTCAATCTGGTACGCCAATGCCCCTCACGTTACACTCACATTTTCGCTTCGAAAACTCGGTAAAATTCCTAATTCGGCTCATTTATTTTCAGCATGAATTACTTGAACTGGGACATGCAGTTCATGTTAGGCCTGAGTGCAGCTGCCAGGTTTGCAAAACCAACCAAACCTTAAAACTGGATAATTTCTTTACTTTTGGCACTTGATAAAACTCTGTATTCGTCATCGGCAGTGTTCGAGTGAGTAACGAGCTAGGAGCAGGCCATCCAAGGGTCGCGAAATTCTCGGTTTTCGTGGTGAATGGGACAAGCATATTGATCAGTACAGTTTTCAGTGTAATCGTCTTGGTATTCCGGGTTGCATTGAGCAAAGCATTTACTAGTGACTCTGAGGTTATTGAAGCAGTCTCGAACTTGACTCCACTGCTTGCCATCTCCGTTTTCCTAAACGGCATCCAGCCTATACTCTCAGGTGAAACAACACATATTCTTTCGAAATCGTGATCGAATCACAGCATCTGCAACTTCTTTTATCACCGAAACCGCATTAATTTACGCTCAGGTGCTTGTTTACGATGGAATTTCAGGGGTGGCAATAGGGAGTGGATGGCAAGCAATTGTGGCATATGTAAACCTGGCAACATACTACATTGTTGGTCTCCCAATTGGATGTGTTCTTGGGTTCAAAACTAGCTTAGGAGTAGCTGTGAGTTGATTCGTTCTCTCCAAATCTCTTCTTTTCCTCTCCCATTAACACTAAATTGGGTGTACAAATCTGAAACTATTCAGGGCATTTGGTGGGGGATGATCATTGGAGTCCTTCTGCAAACAATAACTCTTATTATTATTACTGCCAGAACCAATTGGAACAAGGAGGTATTGAACTTTGCATTAAGCAATCTAATCATCCAATGATCCGTACATCTCTTTCTTCAAGAACAAGCCAAATCATGTGTTTAAAAACATGGTATGATTTTAACAAATGGTGTGTGTTTTTTAGGTAGAAAAAGCTGCTGATCGATTGAGGGATTCAAGTAACGAGGGGACAGATTTGGTTACTCCACCATGAGAATTCTTCCTACAGTTTTCACTTTGAATAATACGAGGTTTTGAAATCATCAAGGCTGGTTATTGATTCACAAAAAAGGGGGGGGGGGTATTGTTGATTGATCCGAAATCATCCTCCACTGATACATCAAGTTTGGTATGTTGAACTACATTAAGCTGACCGCAATTTGAGACTTCATTGAATTTTTTAAAAAAATTGGGAGGGTTTTTTCCTTTTGGCTGAAAGTTCCATTTTTTTTTTGTCAAATTAACCCAAATATAACGAAATAGTAAAAATTTTATCCTTATTAAAATATTGACGTCGTCTATTTTTCTTTTTCTTTCATATCGAAGTAAATTTAATAAAAAATAAATAAAAGTCGGTTCAAAAGAAACGCAATAAAGTTGGACTAAAATGACTAAGCTAATAAAGTTATAAGCAAAAAGAAAGTGATTTTATTAATAACGACAGAAAAACAAATACAAAAGAAAGTCGAATATTTTTATGTTAGGGGCACAAATTCTGAATTATAATAATTGCAAGTTGCAACTAATCTAAATAATTAATATTATTTGATGAGTTGGCCAGAAAAGAATCACACAATCATATTCTTCATAAAATAAATGGTATTTATTTCAAGGGCAGATGGTACAATTTTACCGTCGAGCAAGACAGCAACAACCAATTATAAATAACCAAAAAAAGTATGGATAAAATAAAACAATCAATATTCCCCTTGGTGATATATGTATATATATATATATAGTCAATAAGCATGCTAAGCAAAACACCATTGGAGGAGCATTTGGGAACTCCCCTTACTACATTTCCTATAACTTTTTAACCCCAAACATCTGCTATATTATTTCCTTCTTTTTTCATCCCATTTTCCTTTTGGCTTGATCTTTCCTTTTGCAGAACCAATAACATTAATTAAAGAAACAAGAAAAGCGCCATCCTTGTATGTGTCATGGTCTGTGCGCTGGACCGTGTGCCAAAGGCTGCTCATGAAAGATGTAGGGGAAGCTAGCATTCAAGTTACAGATTTTACAGCAAATAATAGAGAAAATAGGCATGTATTAGATTCCAGTACCTGAAAGGTATGGAGGCCAATCAAAGGATAGACCTGAAATTTTCAACAGGGTCCGACTCTTCAAGCATCGATGCTGCCTGGAGGCAATCTACGGCTTCTGCAAGCCGACCATCATCCTTATGTACCATACCTAAGTGGTACCAAGCCTTACGGTTGGTAGGTTCGATCCTCAATGCATCTGAGAGTACAGTTCTTGCCACAGGCAATGCAACTGACCCCATCTTAGCCAACAATGCACCAATCTGTACCTTGGACGGTACAAAATGTGGGTCTAGCAGACTAGCATTGATATGTGAAGTCAATGCTTCATGGAATTCTCCACGTACTTCGTGCGCAAAACCTGGAATATTGTTAAACAAACCATTAATGCCATTACAATACCTAGATTCTGGAATTTCTCCCATTTAGTTCTCCGTAAAATTCTACACAAGTGTTCCTTTCTTGACATTTACCAATTCATAAACCTTTTATTGCTAAAATTCACAACAGATTTAATAATAATAATATCCATAACTTAATTCCTACATCAACAGCAATGATAAAAAACCAAGTTAGACAATGTCGAGCAATGCAATGCAGACTGCAAACTACAAAAAGGTTCCCTAAATCAGCCACCATTCAATGATATGTTCTCACTCAGAGCTCTGCATTAACCTTTAAGAATCGTCAGAGAGGCACCATCTGTAGCCTCATGTGGAGCAAGAGTTGATAGATGGAAAGAATGTTAAGATTAGAGTCGAACGAAGTGAACGAAGTTTCAAATATGCTTTTTTCAAATCTCTAAACACTGATGGCTTGAGTTTTCAAATGCCATAACAAAGAAAGAAACAAAAAAGAAAAATCATACTCCAATAAATGAGAATCGTTAGTTTGACTTGAACGTATAGATCTACTCCAATAAATAGAAAAGAAAAATCATAAAAAAGAAGACTCATTCAGTAAAAAAAAATGGGTTTCGAATCTTGCCTTCTGTATGCAGCAATTCCGCGGAATACTGTTTCATTTCTCTGGCTTTTTGCACACATACTTCTACATCCTTCCAGTGTGAAAGACTAGCGTACAGATTTGCAAGGCCATACCAAACTTCATATTCTTTTACTTTATCATCAACCTATCAGTAAAAATAACCAAGTTTAATTTAGAAGCAATGACAACCAAAATATCAAACATTTATAACACTCAACAGAACACAACTAAGCCTCTCAAGGGCTAGGCCTAACCAAGAATTTTTTCATGAAGAAGAAAAGAGAAAATAAAACGTGTAACAAAAATAGCAATGTATTTGAAACAGTAAAAAATAATTAGACAACACCTATAGAAAAGAAAATATCAGCAAATTCCAATAGAGAGCTTTTTAATCAAAAACAAAAGTGACAAACTAAGCCTTTTTCCCATTAAATGGATTCATATTTAATGACATTGCTCTGTTTGGATCCCATGCTTTCCCATTATGCACTGTCTGGATCCATATTTTTTTCATAAGATTAGTAAAATCATAAAAGTCCCACATGAAATAATCCCTCAACATATTTCTATCCTCTACCAAATCATGTCACCATCATATATCATGCACAACTGACTGACAAGTCTAAAAGGGACTCTAGTTCTGCTATCTTTTATAGGAAAACATCTTCCACGAGACAATTATGTGAACCCATTTTCACTATTTTTTTTTTATAAAAACCCATTTTCACTATTGTTTCAAGGGAGAGCTTCAAACAACTTGATGCAAGCCTCGATGTTTGGAACTCAAAATCAACATAAATCTCAATTGGTAACATAATTAAAACACAATGATTGGGCATACTTGTTCCTTAAAACAAGAATCTTGCTTCATCATTCAAGCGACATAATTAAAGCACAATGATTAGACATATTTTTTCCTTAAAATAAGAATCTTGCTTCATCATTCAAGTAACGGAAAGTGGTTTACTGAGCTGAGATTTTTATGGAAAAAGTGCAATGTAACAGTCTATGCCACATGGTACTACTAGTGCAGACATAATGCATTAGGGGCATTTAAATGTGGCTTAAGGCTAAAGCAAATCATAAAAACACTATTATGAAAAGAACTTTTTATTACTTAAACCAAATTAAGAAATAAAATATGTTATTCGAACCTGAGAATCAAGTTTCACATGACCAAATGATTTTCTTTGGGCCTGAACCAATGCAAGGAGATGACGATAAGTATCAATAGCTTCCATGGGTTGTGACTGGGAGACCTTCAATTTTGCTTTCAGCCTGAGAAGTGGTCCTTGCTCCCATTTGCCAGTCTCATCCAATGCAGCATCAGTGACTATCTCAGCCTCGGCAAATCGCTGTTGAGCTGACAAAATTAGAGCAAGCAATCTCCAACCCTTTAATACAGAACCACCAGTCACATCAATGTACTTCTTTGCAAATCGCAAAGCAGCATTCAAATTCCGCTGCTCTGCATAATGAACTCCCAATTCAAAGATTACATCAGGATTATCCTGCTCAAGGGAAAGTGCTGAATTTAAAGATTTAAGTGATTCATTCTGAAGACGGGACCTTTCAAAGTCAGAGGGAGAAACTTTAGCTTGCTTTCCCAAACAAATACCTAACATACGAAGACAAACACCATTCAGATGTTCATCCACCCCTTTTGCATTATCCACTGCTCTTTGTGCATATCCTGCTCCCTCAGCTGCAAGATGAGGATCCTCACTACAGATCTTAGCAGCCAACAACAATGATGTGAGATCATTAGGTTTTTCGTTTATATTCAGAGACTTTCTCAATATATTCAAGGCAGCTTTGTTCTGGCCCGCACCACTGCAACAAAGTGCTAAGAAATTCCAGCGCTCAGTACGATGAAATACTCCAGGCTTGAGCTCTTCAAGTTGCTTTGCTAAAGCAGGAGTTAGGCCGCATAAAGAAAGCGCATACATTAAGTGATCCATAACAGATGGATCCCACTGGATAACGCCCTGGTGAAATTTTTGCATAACAACCAACAAAAGCACAATAGCCTCTTCCAAATTATTTTTGGGTACATAAGCACCATCAGCTTGAGCACCTAAGCTAGGAGGGCCAGCCTCCAACCCACTATGCAAGAGAAAAACTGCAAATGCTTTCTGAATTCTTGCACAGCAATCGTGGTCCATGTTCCACGGATTGAGCAATACACGTCTATAAGTAGCCATTGCTTCTTGATAGTTACCAGCCTCCTTCAAAAGCTCTGGAAGTAGCTCAACCGCTTTACTAACCGTCTCCTGCAATCGACTCTCAACTTGGGCATCAGATATTCCATGAGGAAATATCTTCCCCACAGCATCAAGCACATTTGTACAATCCTTAGCAGCCTCTACAAAACCAATGAAAACAACATTCAACTTTCTTTCCCTGAGGTATAAAAAAGAATAAGAGAGGCATATCATTCCTTTTTAAGTAAGATTAAAACATAAAGGAAGGTGAAATGTGAAGCTTTTCCGGTACCGTTAAACTTTCCGAGCTTTTGAAGCGACTTGGCCTTTAAGTAAACCCCTTCAAGAACGAGCTTGGCAGCTTGTTGGTTCTGCGAATCACGATTTACACCATCATTGTGATAAAAAGAAAAAAAAGATTTAGAAGACAGAGAAGAAGAAGAATTGGAATAAGAAATCTCATTACGGAAGGTTGCAGCCCTTGGATTGCAGATTGCATATCAATCCCATCTAATACCCGAATTGCTGCTTCTACATTTCCTCTTTGATACTCTAATCTTCCCAAAAGAGTCCTCGCTTCCTTCAAAAGCACAAAATAATCAAATCCTAAACTGCCCCAATTCCGAGATCACCCAAAAACATAACATTTGAAAAAAAAACAACAAACCTCAGAATTGAGAGACAAGCGTTCGCGTAAAGAAGATTCGGCTTCTTGAATGTTGCCCCGGTCGAGTTCGGCTTCGACATCTGCTGTACTCATGGAAGTCCCATTGGCAGAAAACTCTCGCCCCTTTGGACCATTTTCATCATCGGACATTGTTTATGGTTTTCTATTTGGTTTGATTATTAATATGTCAGTTATTTCGTAAGAAGATTGCTTGGACATTGACGCATCTTTGTTGGTGTTGAGGATCTGCAAAATAAAGAAAG